GTCCATACTCAATAAAGGCTACCACAGGGAAGGGTATGGAGTGATCAGTAGGCATGATGGAGTCATCATCCCCAGCCAACCTCAGATGGATGTCGGCTGGGATTTCAAACTCTTGTCTAAAGAATTCTAGTTTAGATGGGGTGTTTACTCTATGTTTCCACATGCCCATGATGTTGGCTTAAATAGAGATATCGGATTTCAGAAAGAAGTATTTTTGGAAGGTTTAAAGGACCTCGGCTAAAAACCTAAAAGTACACTTTGATAAAGATTTGTATGGATCTAGAGGAAGTTTGTTTCAGTTTTTTCCTAAATTATGGGTTCTACAGACAAATCCTAAAACCTAAGTCTATGGAATTAAAGATTGAAGGCACGAATCTGGAAAAGACACAAAAAACAGAAACAAGAACGAGTTTTAGAATCAAGAACAGAGATGGTCTATCAAAGAGCATAAATAACACAAGAAGTATAGGGCCAAGAACAGTGGCAAAAATACAGAGAAGTGGTGAAGCAGTGCGTGTGTTCAAGATATGGGCAAGGGCAAAATCATGGACAAAACATATTCTTATGTATGATTCACAAGATCGAATATTTAAGCAAAGCAGTAATGGCAACAAGTTCAAGAAAAAATTAAGAAACTGAAATAAGAAGGAATAGTGTATTACCAGAGGAAGAACGAAGCCGGTGTTAAATGTTGCCAAGGTCAGACGACGATGGCGGACTGGAGAATCAGCACGAACCTAGTCGAAGAAAGCAAACGCCGATGGCTGCAGAACTTTGGAAGCTTGAGCAATGGAGGATTTCGAAGGGTAAAGCAAGAAAAAGAGAGAAAAAGCAAAGGAATCGATGTAAAAGTGAAGAACACGAAAGAAGAAGGAAACAAGTCTTGTTAAAAACTTGAAACGGCGGCAAAAGAGGGCAATTAATGCGCCTGGGACAACGTGAGCGTCAGACGGCGCACGTATGTGCGAGACGATTATGAAGCACGTTCCAAGTACAATCCAATAAGAAAGGGATACGTAGCTGAAACGGTTGAATTTGGTGTATGACAGCTCATACGCGTGAAAGGGTTCTTGAAGTTCTTGTTCTTTAATAAAGACATATCGGCCAACGTAATGATCTCGGCTGAAATACTGTAAATCGACGTACTGGAAGGACGGAATGATATAAGTTCTATCACCTCAAAATACCGAGGTAATAGAACCTAGGGGGTAGTTGTGGGGATATATTTTTGAGTACCAACACGTGGCAAGGTGACGCCGACGTGTCAGCCGAGGTGCCACGTGTCCTGGTCGATATGCCGAGGTTATCTCGGTTAGGCCGAGGTTATCTCCGAAGATATCGGAATCCAAGATAAATGGATAAGGATAAAGGACAATAGTCCTAGAATAAAGAAGAGACTTAGCCAAGATAAGGATAAAGCTCTTAGGGAGTTTATCTTTATCTCTTGAGGAGTCCAAAGTAAGTACTGAACAGGAATCCATAGAAGTCAAGCTTCTAATAGGACAAGGATTGAGTTAATTATAAAAGAGAGGCACCCCCATGGGTCTAAGGTGCGCAATATATATTCTGTCTAGTGAGTTAAACACTATTGATTATCTTTGAGAGATATACTGACTTGATTGTCGGAGTGCCCCCGGGTGGACGAACCACCGCCGGAATCTTCTCTTTCTGTTACAGGTTAGCCAGGTGTCATCTACTTTTCCAGTACTCTCCAGCTGAATACTGAGTTGGACAATGTGATTAGAAAATCACTCACACACTTTTCATAATGCATATAAACTTAGAAATTTCAATATTGCAAAATGCTAATAATAATAATAATATGTGAATTCTATTATAATTAACAGATCACAGTAATATTACATTTATTATTTTTTTAATCAAATTTCATTTATCATTGTGACACATTCATAATTATGGATAAATTACACTTTACTCTTTTATATTTGACTACTTCTCCACTTTGACTTTTAAAGTTTTAATTTTTGCACTTGACCTTCATGTTTTAATTTTTTTTTAATTTACTCCCAAAGCTAAGTTTTGTTCAAAATTAAACAAAAAATATCACGTTAACTGTCATATAACATAAAAATATATTGTTATATTAAGGTTTGAATTTGCGTCAAAGGTATAAATTATTTTTATGTTACGTAGCTGTTAATGTATTGTTTTCTACCTAATTTTGGATATAAGTTAATTTTTAAAATAAATTAAGAAAAATTTAAAACATAGAGAGCTACATTTGAAAAATAAAATTTTAACGATTAAGGTAAAAAAATGACTAAATATAAATAAAGTGTAATTTATCCGTATTGAAATTCCCGTACTACTTGGCCTTATGATAGTGCTTAATATGTATGATCGGAAGGCGGATATGTTACATTATATGGCTTAATATTTTTTTGAAAAAGTTTTCAATTATGGGTTGTTTAGAATGATTTAAATAAATATATATTTTAATTTTTTATAAAAGATATGTAAAAAAATAAAAGGTAATGTGACCCAAATAAATATGTTTATCTAAATAATTATACTTATTTGGGGTGTTTTGAGAAAATAGTAAAAAGTGACTTTTTGGCTTTTAATCAAACTTTTGATTTTTAGATAAGTGATTTGGGAAGTTGGTAAAAAGTTACTTTTAATTTTTTTTATTAATATTTGTTTATAATGTCAAATCATAATAAAATGACTAAACTATCTCGTTCAATTTAAAATATTTACAACTTCACTCATGTAATATATTTTGACCCATGAGGGATAGAATTGTAATTTCACCAGTGACTGAAAACTAACTTCTTAAATGTTTTTAAATACAAAAAAGTCAACTTCTAACTTTTGCTACAAACACACAAATGTGACTAAAAATCAAGTACCAAAAGAGGCCTTAGTTTATGCCAAATAGTGCGTAAGTCCTATATTTTACATAAAATTTTCATTATAAGGCACAATAAAAAAAAAATATGACAAAAAATACTAACTTATTTGAAAATCCAAAATCAGTCTTGAACTATTTTTTAATATTTTAATTTAAAAAATGATATGTAAATTCATTTTTTAGACCTATTTTCTGAGTCCAATAATATGTAAATTATATAATTAATTGATAATTGAGAAAATATTAACTTAAGTATCTTACTTGATTGACACATCATCAAACGTAAATTTGAATCCAACTTTTAAATTTATATAGCAATGTCCTTAATTTAACAACCCCGCTACGTAGCTCGAATTATCAACGGCTCAAATGGCCCAAAATCCCAAAACAACATTGTTTTGGGATTTTTTTTTTATCTTAGCAGTAAGATTTATTCTCTTACTGGTAAGATAATTTTTCCATACCAGGTCTGAGTCATTCTCTTACCGGTAAAAATGCCAAAATGACGTCATTTTGACAATCATGACATTCGAGCTCTCGCATATTTTTCTTAATTTAATGTGTAACTAAAAGTGTACAAATTAAAACCGTCATAAATGAGTCAAGATTCCTTATCTCAAGTCCAATTGAAAAATCATTAATGATAGGGATCCTTTTTTTTGGGAAGATCTTTACAACTTCTAAATGATATAAATCTCACATATATATAAGGAAAATGTTTTGGGGCTCGAATCTGCTTGTCCCGAATGCCTCGAATGCCCAAAACGACGTCGTTTTGGGCATTCTGTTTTTTTTTTTTTTTTTTTTCTTTTTTTTCGCCATTTTCGACCTCTGCAATGCAGAGGAAGAGGGAGAGAAAGAGAGGGAGAGGGAGAGAAAGAGAGAGAGAGGTCGCGTTGCCTGCGCCGATCGCGTCACCTGCGCCGATCGCGTCGCCTCCGCCTTCGCCGCCTCGCTGCTCTGCTCTGATCGTCGCCTCCGCCCCTCGTCGGCTCTGCCCCGCTCGTCGCCTCCGCCGATCGTGTCGCCTCCGCCCCCTCCTCCTCCATTTTTTAGGCCCCCTCCATTCCTTCCTCCCCCTCCCCCTCCCCCTCCTTCCCTTCTTCGTCTTCCTCCTCCTTTCCCCTGCTGAAAAGAAAAAAAAAAAAAAAAAATTAGAGAATTTTTTTTTGAGCCATTCGAGCCGCTGCCCATTCGGGCTCTGTAGCACCACTGTATATATAAATAGCGTAGATCACTTTGGGAGTTGTGGAGATCATCCAAAAAGAGGGTCTCACTCATTTTCCTTAAAAAAATAAGGGTAAATTAAAAATACACTCTCTAAGGTTTGCTTAAAATACATATTGCTTCTTATAGTTTGAAAAATTATAAATATCTCATTGTTAAAAAAATTTATTTAACAAAATTAACTAAAAAAAATTCATAATTACTCTCCTATACAATAATAAAATTCTTAAATTATTAATTGAAAGATATTTATAACATCATTAAAAATTGTCAATTGACATGATAATTTATTAATAAAAATGACAATTTATTATGAAATTAGAAACATCAAAGGGTAAATTGTAATTTCTAAAACTATAAGAGATAATTTATATTTTAATTAAATCTCAAAGAATGTATTTATAATTTATCATAAAAATAAATACACTAAGAAAAAAAATTCATATACAAGCAAGGTTTTAAAAAGCGGCCGCAACCGTTACGTAACGCCGTTACGTAACGGTTTTGGCGTTTACCGCCACCCGTTACGGCCGCTTTTGCAGTGTGATTGAGATTCACAGGTGTGTCGGCCGTAGCGGCTGCCGTAGTAGTCGTAACGGTGTCGTAACGGCCTGTTACGCATCGTTACGTAACGGTTCAAACTGTTTCTTTTGAAAAAGTACAATTACATCTACTATGGAAATAAAAAAAAAAAGGATCAACTTCTTATAAGAAAAATTGTACCTCATTCTATACTTAGATTTATGTGTTTGTAACACAATTAACTAAAAATCTGTATTGAGCCCAATTTCACTTGCCAAAACATTTATTGCAACTCGAAAAATAATGGGTTATAAGTTGGTAACATCATTAAACTAAAAATCTGTATTGAGCCCAATTTCACTGCCTAAATATTTATTGCAACTCGAAAAACAACGGGCGTATGACCCATCCTTGTATCCAACCCGACCCGAACACAAAGTCAGGCACAGAGAGAAGACACACAAAGAGCCCTAGTGCCTGTGAGCCGAAACCTGAAATGGCGATACCGGACGAAACAACAGCAGCGAAGGTAGAACCGGAGACACCGTGGGGGACATGGGAGGAGCTCCTGCTAACTTGCGCTGTCCGCCGTTACGGCATCGAATCCTGGGACTCCGTCGCCGTCGAGATCCAAAAGCGGATCTCCTCCACCCTCCGCCACCACCTCTTCACCGCTCACCACTGCAAACAGAAATACCTCGACCTCAAACTCCGATTCACTCCCCAAACCGACGCCGTATCCTCCAACGACAACGACGACGCTGTTCCTTGGCTCGAGGATCTCAGGAAAATCCGAGTCGCCGAGCTCAAACGCGAACTCGAACGCTCCGATCTCTCCATCTTGTAAAATCTCCATCTATATCTGGTTTCTCTCGGTGTGTGTTTATAGATGAATATATATCTGAACCAGAACTGTTCGTTTTCAGGTCGTTGCAATCGAAGGTGAAGAGATTGGAAGAGGAGCGAGAAGAGAGCTTGAGAGAGGACGAGAATGGCGGAGAGAAGTCAGATCTGGAGAGGAAGAGTGATGAGAGAGAGAGCGAGGAGGAAGAGAAGATAGAACAACACACTGAACCGGAGAAATCGTCGCCGGAACCGAGCGCCGGCGAGGAATCGGACCGGAAACCGGATCAGACCGGTGAACCGAACGGTCCGGGTGTTTCAGGCGGTTCATCGAAGCCGGTTGGGGAGAACTCGTGTAATGGTAGCTCAGATAGTATAGAAAAAGAACCGGTTCGGGAATCGGTGAAGGCTGAACCGGAGGGTGGAGTGAGTGACTCGCCCGGGTTGCTCGAATCAGTGGCTGAGTCGAAGGGTGGTGGAGTTGGAGAAGAGAGTAGCGATGTGCAGAGCTCGGCGAGTCGATCGAGAAAGGAAGGAGGAGGAGGGTCTGATAAGGTGCGATGCCGTACCATTAGTGGTGATGAGCCCGAGAATGAGGATCAATCACCTACCGTTAAAAGAAAGTCCAATAAATCACTGCCGTTGGTTGATTTCCTCGAGACTGTCCGGTCTCACAAGCTCGGCTCGGTCTTTGAGCGCCGGGACGAGAGCCAGGTATATAAGTGAATAATATAATATATTCGTTAATTTAATAATTAAAATGACATTGGGAAGTACTTATATAATGGAAAGTGATGACATTTTATTTTATTTTTTTATTTTTATCTCATCCGTTATTGTGTGCTTGCGTTATTATTATATGAACTAATTACCTACTAGGGCTGAGCAAGGAATTGTAAAATTCACAATCCGAATTGGTTCGGTCTACTTAGTAGGTTTGGATTGATTTTTTGAATTCGTAATTTAGTTTTGGATTAGAAAATTGAGAATCAGTTTTCTACATATTGGTTCCATATTGGAGTTCACGCGTCCGGACTGTATGCAATTTAAACCATATACATACCATATACTCTCATGCATATAATCCTACCCTCTTGTATATTATATTTGTTTAAATTAATAGTGGAACAATATTCATATTTATGTTTTGAAAAATTATGGATAAATTAATATTGAAATGAAAATGTTATATGATTTTTTTTTTAATGAAAAGATTATGGTCTCGTTTTTGGCTATTTTAATAGGTTAAGATATTTGTGTTTGGGAAAAAAGTTGAATTTTTTTATAGTTAAGTGTGATATTTGTAAGAGAAAAAGTGAAATAATTATGGTTTTAATGTGACATTTTGTCTTATTAGCTATTTAAGCTTATTCTGTCTTTTTGTGATTTTAGTCAAAAAAAAGATTCAATTTTTGGCTTTCCAAACACCCCCCATATGAAACCGTAGGTCCAAATCGAGCCGAACCATGTTTAAGTGGTTTGGTCAGATTGGTTTCATGATTTAAATGGATTTGTTTGGTTTCAATTTTTGTGGAATTGTAGACGACGAATTGGCCCTGATTTTATCCCAAACCGAACCAATCCAGATTGTGCTCATCCTTATTGCCTGCACACTTTATTCACAATTTTTTTATGGATAAAAAGACCCTCACAAATTTGTCCTAATTACTCCGACTTGCCCTTTAATTTAGTAAGAGTGAAATAATCAAAACTAATAATGGTAGTGACCTATGACGCACGGACACGGACACGGATACGGGATACGGCAATTTTCAAAAAATGGGGACACGGACACGGTGGGAGACACGACGAATTTTTTATTATTATTATATATTTTTATGTATTATGTAGATTCATATTACATTGATCCTAAATCAAAATTAACAAACATAAACATAATAACATTAATTTAATAAATATAACCATTAAATTTAAACAAATTATTGGCAGAATTTGAACTAGATATTTTTCCTATAAATTATAACCATTATAAATTCACATTAACATTAGAAGGGGGGGGGAAAAATACAGTATATATATAAAGAGAAAATTAGTCTAAGGTCTTTCTCCCATTTTTAGTAATGGAAGAGATCCACCATATTATTTTATAATGTGTAAGGTCGCTCAACTCTAAACCCACACTTTCTCTCTTATATGGACCCAAGTCTCTCTACAAAATTCCAGTCTATCCCTAATCTCTTTTCTTACTATACTTTCTTCATCCTATTGCTCTCTCTTACTCCATTTCGATCCCTTCCCAAACAATATTGGGGATTCGGCCACAATGTAAGGCCACGAGGCCATCACTGCTGGAGAAGTACCATGCAATGGCACTGGATTTTTCAATTTACCGTGCTGTCTCTTCTCCAGCGTTCGGATCAGACCACATCTTTGCCGCCTCTTTGGCATTCTCTGATGCTCCAACAATGGTGACTCAACTTCGACGAAGCGCCTCGGAAGAAGAAGAAGTTTCAAGTGCAATTCAAACCAAAGTCCGGTGTGGATGAGATCTGAGAGGAGGGATGTGAAGGCGGGTTTGAGAGAAGTTGAGGCTTCGAGGAGTTGGATGACGAGGGTATAAGGGAGGACGTCGATGTTCTTGACGGCGAGAGGGAGTCCATGGTCGGAGTTGTTGAAGGGGATTTCAAGGAGGCAGATGGAGGAGGTGGGTGGGATTGATTGTCGGAGTTTGATGATGTTGAGTGTGCTGCTACAACTGTTTATTTGATGTAGAAAGAAGACGATGATGATGATGATGATGATGATGATGATGAAGGCTATCAAAGAATTTCTTTGGAGCAAGAATTTCTTTGGAGTAGTTTAAATTTTCTCTAGATCAGGTAAAAATAAAGTAGAGAAATTTTGAATTTCTCTAGAGTGGTTTGAATTTTCTCTGGATTAGGTAAGAACAAATCAAAGAAATTTTGAATTTCTCTGGAGTGCTTTGAATTTTCTCTTGATCAGGGAAGAACAAAGCAGAGAAATTTTGAAGCCTTGTGCTTTAAATTACAGATTTATAGTTCAGAGGAATTCTCAATAATAATGAAGCCTTGTGAACCAGAATTTCTCTGTGAAGTCCAGAGAAAATTCGTCTAGAGAAATTATCTGTGAATCAGAATTTCTCTGTGAAGTCCAGAGAAAATTTGTCTAGAGAAATTCTCTGGATCGAATTTTATTTGGATCGATATTGAAGGACCTTAGACATTATGAAAATATTGAGTGTCCTTGATGCTATAAAATCTTAATATCAGGGACTTTTAAAAAAAATCCCATATATAAACCTATAATTTAAATTAAAAAAAAAAAATCAGTTTTAGAGATATGTTTATATATATATATATATATAAACATATAAGAAAAATAAAAAATAAAAATCAATTTACTTGAAGCCGAGTAAACTGCGAAAGAGAGAAAGAGAAAGAGAGAGAGAGCGCGAGGCTTACCTTCGAAGATGACTGATGGAGATCGACTAGGTCGGGGGTCTTCAAGTCGGCGATAGGTACCCACAATCTCACTCTATTCCTTCACTCTCTCGTTTGTTACGATTAGGGCTTTTAGATCGTCGTCGTCGTTGTTGTTGTTGTTGTTTTTTTTTTTTTTTTTTTTTTTGTTTTTTTTAAAATTTTTTTGGTACTTTTCAAATATTACACTTTGACCCCAAATAAATATAACAAAATTAAAAATGAGTCTCGTCGTGTCCCATGCCGTGTCCCGATATAGACACACGTGTCCCCACCGTGTCCCCTACAAAAAAAATCATTAAATTAAAGGGACATGCTAGATGTGACGCATGTCAGACATTGCCACGGCACCAATTTTGGAGTGTCCATGCTTCATAGGTAGTGACATAGAATAAACAAGTTAATATATATATTTCGATATAAAAAAATGACTATCAATTTAGTGAAAATGAGGTTAAGTACTATATAAATTAAAATCTTCAGAAAATTTAATGTAATTATATCAATCAAGTAGAGTTTAATGAGGTGTTTGTTACACTTAAATGATCTATTTATAGCTTATTTTAATTTGGGAGAGTTTGTACTCGACTGTTTGGTGTAGTTTCTGGTTACAACTTATTAGGCAAAAATATATTAATTAAGCTAAGAAACTAATTATCTGGAAGAAAGCTGAGGCAGGGCACTTTTAGCTTATTCTTTCTTATTATCAGTTTTTGTCTTACAATAAGCTATACCAAACATGGCCAATATATTTTCTCAAAATTCAAAGAGTTGTTAGTGTAATTTACTCTTTTATTTTATTTTATTTATATGCTACTACTCACACAAAGTTGGTTTTGCGTATACAATTAATAAATTTCTTTACATAGATTAAGATATGAAAAATTCATTACAAGAAGAAACCAAAAAAAAAATAAAAATCTAATTTTGTTGCCCTATAGTTTAGCAAATTCTCTTGACAATGTTAGTGTAATTTACTTTTTATTTATTTATTTGTTACTACTTGCACAAAGTTGGTTTGCATATACAATTATATTAAATTTCTTTCCATAGATTAAGATACGAAAAAGTCATTCCAAGAAGAAACCAAAAAAATAAAAATCTAAAATTTTGTTGCTTTATAGTTTAGCAAATTTTCTTGACAATAAGAAAAAATATCAAACAAAATCTAAAGCTATGACATATTGTACAGACACAAATTTCTCTACACGTGTGTATGACCAAAACCCTTCGTCAAGCCTCCAACAATCGTTTAGCTCCTGGAAGACAAGAACGGCTGCAGGTGGTTTGCCAGAACAACCTATTTGATGCCTAAGCACTAGGATTAGGGGTGATAAACGAACCAAAAGCTCAAGCTTGACTCATTGTAAGTTCGTTAAGTAAGCAAGCCAATCTTGAACATATTTTAGAGCTCGTTAATGTTTTCAAACCAAGCTTGAACAACTAATTGCTCATTCGGTTTGGTTCGATAAGCCTAAAACTATATGAAAATACCAAACTACTTGAGCTTGACTCGACAAAAGTTCGTTTGAGATTAGCTCGAAAGTTTAACAAACCAAGCTTGAACAAATTTTAAAGCTCGTTAAAGTTTTCAAACAAAGTTTGAACAGTTAATTGTTCAGCTAGTTTGGCTCGTTTATCACCTCTAACTAGGATCAATATAGGAAAAAGAACTCGAAGGCAAAAGTATACTACATACATGTAGAATTAGGTCGAATCCCTTTCAAAGACTCATGGTCAATTAGGACTCCTATCCAAGTGGATATTGCTTATCCCAAAGTACTAGCATGGTAGACACATCTACTAGTTTAGCCAATCAGACCACACGACCGGGCTGGTGAAACTGGTTGAGCATACTGCTCTATCTCTCTGCTTAGGTTCCACTAATCATCGCTGGCTCATCTCGTCACCTAGGCGAACTCTGCAACCCTGTCTGCCATTGCACCTGGAAACTAGCCTTGGTCATGCCGGTCATCAACCTTGTGCGATTAGCATGCTTGACCAGTCCCCCACTAGCCTAAGGTGTGTCGGGCTCACCATTGATCATGCCCGACTACTTTCCTAGGTCACCATGGTGGGCTACAAAACGGTGACCAATAGGCTGAGGGAGGCCTACCCGGTCATAATTGCTCCTACATATATTGAATGAAAATTGAACTAATTGCAGAGCATCTCCAATCATTCACCTTTTCTTTCTTCTAATTCTTTCATCAAATTGAAGAGGAGTCATTTTTTTCATCAAATTTGATGAAAAGGAAAAGTTGGGATATGAGGGGAATTTTTTTTAAGATTTTGATGAAAGATTGGAGTAGTTCATATAACTTTTTATTCAAATTTGGAATCAAATTAGATGAAAAAATAGGCAAAGGGTTGGAGATGTTCTTAGCTGCAAAATTACTAATAATCTTGCACAATCTAATTTATTCACCATATATATATTTTTTTCTATAACTAATCCATTCAATTTTTTTTTGTGGTATGGTTGATCGAATGTTAGATTTGAATTTAATTAACTTCAACTTCAACATTGAAAAGTTTATTTCTTTAGATGCACCAGTCATCAGTATATTAAACAATATTCCATAAACAATTCATTCATTTGGAAAACAACCATCTATTACTTTCAAATAATGCATCACATCAATTGTTTTTTTTAGTTTCTTTAATAAATTTCTTTTAGGACTTTCAATTTTGAAAATAAATATCTCCTATCAACATTAGAAAGTCCGTCATGTTTTAGAAAATCTTTAATGTTAGCACAATAAGGTTTCAAACATTCATCATTAGCAGAATCAGTGTTATTAAAAGCAATAGGCGCATTGAGGCACCAAGGCACACCTTTTACTTAAAAAAATATAATTTAGTATAAGCAAATAATTTAGGGTCCAACCTAAGCAAAATGAAATATCAAACATTTAAAAATATAAATACCAACAAACATTATTATTTTAACATAGACAAATGAACATCATTTCAAAGTTTAACATATAACATGAATAAGACGATGGGAGGAGAAGAACAAGAAGAGGGGAAAAAAAACTGGTCAGTCCAAAGAAGGATGAGAAAGAGGAGACTAGAGAATAAGCATAAGAAGATGGAAGCATAAGAAGATGGAAGAAGAAGAAGAAGAAGAAGATGATCACAGCCATGTGAAGAAGAAGATAGCAACGTAGAGAAGACAACAATGTAGAGAAGAAGAAGAGAAGAGAATGAGAGAGAAACGTAAGAGAAGAAGAAGACAGCAACATGAAGAAGAATTTTTGGAGCTACTGGACTAGATAATGAAGGTAGGCAGTAACAAAGAGTTCTTTAGAAATTAGGAATTAGGGATAAATTTTCTTCTATTATTGATTTCCAGCTGAATGCCCAATGTATTGGCAAGTGTCCTTAAGAGTAGGGATCTCTGCAGTTGTACCTTATTAAATCAACGGTAAGATTTCAAACAAAACCAATCAAAGCAGCAATTTAAAAAGAAAAAAAAGAAAACCCTCAAGGTGCAGGCCTTAGGCTTTATTGCACCTTGGCCCAATCGCACGCCTTAAGTGCAACTTATCGAAGTTGCCTAGCCTAGAACACTGTAAGGCGCAAACCTTGGGCCTAGGTGCACGCCTAGGTGCGCCTTTAACAACACTGAACATAAAGTTTCCTTTAATTTAGATTTTGAACTTATATTGAGCCCTAATTTCTGTGCCTACTAATACTTACAAAGACTGGAATTATTTAGGGTCTTATTTTTTATTATACTTTTGGCGGCCTTTGGTGGTGTCCTTGCTTGCTTTCATCAAGGCTAGCCACTAGTTCTTCGGTGTAATGCATGGAACAAAAGAAATATTATTGACAATTCTTTTTTATAATTATCATTTTATGTTATCACATATATATCAACTATTATTTTGCATGTTAAGTTATATGAAATTATAGAATGTTCTATTGTAGCACTATTGCTATATGTTTATGGTTATTGTACTTTTGGCTTAATATGCAGACTAAATTATTTTTTCTCACGATGAAGTAGATATCCCATTACAACATATGCCATTGGAAGTACATATGCATTACTTTAAGCACAAAACTGCTATATATTTATAATAATTTTTCTCTAATAGTGAATTAGACTTGCCATGGAAAGCAGCATGGTATATACCTAACCAAATGTTTGTCTCAAATTTTGGAGTCTGAAGTGATTAAAATGAGACTTTTAATTGATAGATTGAAGATAATTCTTTTTTAAACACGATATATGTATATTAAGTAGGAAACTCAATGTATTAAGCAATGGGTAGAGTGGGCCAACTAGTATTTCCCATGGCATGCTATCTTAAAAATACAAGATTATGTAAAGTACATAGCCGTTGTTTAGGAAAGAGAAGAAAATTTTGGACAATAACTACTTTTATATATCTATCTGTATATATTTGTGGGGAGTAGAAATCTGTCCTACATCAGACATTATAAGAGGCCTTTTCCAGTCAAGAAAAAACAAAACTGTGCGTGCCCTGTGGTACAAAGTGGACAATATCTTAGTATGTACTCCGGCAATGGGGTGTTCCGCACAAACGGCGCTGTTTGTGGGAGCCCTAGCTCCACCACCTAGACCCGCACGTTGGGGGGCTAATGAGGGAAGTAGAAATATGTCCCACATCGGTTCACTAGGGACTTTTGACCCACCTTATAATGTGTGTTATGCCCACAAACCTCCAAGAGGCTTTTTCTGGTCAAGGAAGAACAAAACCGCGAGTGCCCTCATGATACAAAGTTGACAATATCTTGGTGTGTGCTCTGGCAGTGGGGTGGTCCGCACTATATTTTACTTTATTGTTATTATTATTGATATAATCAGAACCGATGTCGTCAATTCTGTTTCAGACCAACTGGTACATACCATTCCGGCAACAAACCGGAACAGAGGAGGTTCATACCGTCTCATCTTAGTTTCCAGCCTGATCTGGTCGTACCGGAAAAATTTCATTGGATTTCATGTGATACTGTACCAGTAGTATTTTGTCTTGGATATTAATTATTGGTGATATTTGTATGTGAATGTGGCCTTAAGATTTGCTTTGTCTTCCAGACATGGAAACCTTTTTGAGTCATAACTGTGCTATATCAACTTAATATAAAAGTGCACGTATATGTATGTGTCTATATACGTAGATATATTTTGGGGATTTCTCTTTGCATTTTCCTTTTGAGTTCCTTCTTGCTACCACCACTTTTTAAGACATCTCTAACTATTTTGATCTGAATCTGTCTATTTCTATAACCTCAGTTATAGAGATCTTAAAGCTCTGTGTGTGTGTGTGTTATGGTGGTATATATTTATGTAAATATTTTGTGTTGGTTTTAATTCTTGGTTATTTTTTGTTTAGGTTTGATTGAACACAGTGATATAAATGGTTTTGGTAAATACATAATGATAATTTTAATAAATGTATAATGTTTATAGTGATAAATCCGAAATGGTACCCAAAAACATACCGGTACCGGTACATACCTTACTTTACCAACTGAGCAGTTGGTACACTGTCATACGGGATTGTCAACATTGGTCAGAAAAGCCTATTCTTTCATATTGTGAAATGAGAGGGAGGGCTTTGGATATTATAGGCAGCACTTGGGCCTAAGGCTCTCCTTACACCAGGGTGTGGGAGGGTATATAGTAGGCATACATGCTTATCCTAGTGGAGAGCTGCTTGCTGCCACTCAATTCCGCTCCATAAGTTGCGATCGGGTAGCACTTGTCATTGTTTCCTCTGCTTTGGATTTATGTGACTACTTTTTAGCGAGAAAGCAAACGATAAGATGAAGTATATTACATTTTTCAAGATATTAGTTGACTAAAAATAAGAAAGCCAATAAATTAATGGTCTTGTGCATAACATGTGCCACCTCTATTGTTCCCTAGTTTGCAATTATATATTTTTCTCCTTTGTATCTTCCTCTCAAGTGTGTCTTGAACAAAAGGACTGGCTAATAATTTATTGCTTTTGCTTTTGTATCTTTCTTTTTCAAATCTTCTTTTTCCCTTCTTTGCACCATGAGTTGTTTTCTATAAAAAAAAAAATCTGGGTTGTTGTTTTCATTTATCAATTGTCCAGTTTTGAGCTTTGTTTGATCGAATGAGAATGACAACCCATTTGCCAATGGGCTTAACCTTGGTGCCTTTAGACTAAGAAACTACCCAAGAGTTTTTGCGTTGGGTCTCGGTAGATGGTGTCGGTTGCAGCTCCTTTGGACCTAGGTCATATAATTTGATTCATGTGTTCCAATTAGTAGAAAAATCCAGCTAGAGCCAAGAATTCAATGATTCTGTCATTTCAGCCACTTGAATTTTGTTAAGGTAAATTTTCTAATTACATTCCTCATATCAAGAGTGGACATTATTCAGTTTTCATTGAAAAGAAAATGACAGAATAGTGTGTAAAATCCAGGCCTTTTTTTCGTAACTGAATAATTTTTTGTTTTGTTTATTTGATGGTAGTTTTAGTGCTATATCTATATACTGATATGTTAAACTTGCTTCTCAACAATAGTAGTGATTATACTTCCACAGGAAGACACTTGAAATTAAAAATGCCTTTGATGGGGAAGGCCAAATATATAAACTATTTAAATAGGTGCTGGTTCAAGTATTAAGGGAAAGAAATCAATGCTTATGGATATACATTTAGAGTGCCCAAAAATGTTTGCCCAAACTTCTTGGCTCTTCTTTTTCTCTCTGTTTCTTCTTCTTTCTATTTATTTATTTCTTATTTTGTTGTCTTTGTTTTTGTTTTTGTTTTGTTTTGTTTTGTTTTTTCCTGATATGCACATAGTATGAGTAAGGTGCTTGAAAATTTCATCTGTGTGCGCGCCAGGATATTTTCTTCATATGCATAAACATTTGTAGTTTGGGTTTGTGGTCTCATAACCTGTATAGCTTCAAATGCTCATTCGCAGTAATGGTCCCACTGAACGAGTCATTGAATGCAGTTTAAGCTCATTTGTATGTTTCAAAAGTCTTGTAAACTTATCCAAAAAAAAAGTCATGAACTTCACTAATAGCATGGTTGTATTCTTCTTAAGGATGCCATAACTTGGGCACTTGGTCGGAGACATAAGTGGTGTCCATTATGAGGTGGAAGGCAATTTCATTTAATTTGATTAAAGGCAATTTTTTTTAGGCAGTAACCAATACCAATTGATGTGTTATTGCTTCTGAACATTGCAGGAAACCACCCCCAAGTACAGGAACTTGATTCGGCAACATATAGATCTCGAAACTATGCAAACGAGGCTTGAAGAAGGTTGGTATTCAGGCTGCCACATAAAGTTCTTTCGTGATCTGCTACTTCTCTTAAACAATGCTGTCCTCTTCTACGGCAAAAAGTCCAGAGAATCTGCTTCTGTCATTGAGCTTCGGAAGCTGATTACCAAAGAGATGAATCAGAGAAGTCTCAAGTTGGATTCATCATCCGAGGAACAACCACCTTCATTGCCACCTGCATCCCTTGCCCCAAAACCCGAGCCCGAGCTATCTGATTCTTTGTTACTAAAACAAAAGTTACCAGGCCCATCGGCTTGCCGCACACGCAGCTCACTCACTGCAAAAGCAACGGGATCATCCTTAGCAGCTGATAAAAAGCGTGAGCAAAAAGCAGCATTGCTAGAGGAAAAACCCATTCTGGACTGGAAGCAATCCAAATCCTCAGGTAATGCTGAAGAACATCGAGTCACAAAGAGGAGAACCAGAGACTGGTTTGGTTCAGGTTCAAGAAGCTCAAATAAGAATGGCACCAGTCATAGTAATGCCAACCCCAACAAGAATTCAGAAGCCCGATCCAGCCAAAACCAAGGCAAAGGAGCGTCTTCAAGTGAGCATTCAGAGCCCAAAAGCGAGAACACCAATGCTATGTCGGGTGCGAAGAAGAGAAGCGCAGCTAATTTCTTGAACAGAATGAAGCGGAGCTCATCCACTAACAACGGGTCATTGCCAGATTCGTTGAAGAGCTCAGCAGTTAGTTCCAACAACAATAACAAGGGAGGAGGTGCTGAGCAGAGGAGAGGTGGGAATGGTAAGGCTGAGATAAGGAAAGAACAGAGCTCGAGGAGGGGGTCGGGAGGGAAGCAACAAGCTAAGGAGCAGGCGAGTGCGGCAAAGAGAAGCATTGGTCGGCCGCCAAAGAGGGCAGCGGCACCTCCACCTTCCACACCAGCTCCAGTTTCAGGGAAACGGGGTAGGGAAGGAGGGGATACCGAAACTTCAAGAAAGCCTAAGAAAAGGTCAAGGAGGTGATGATGGCTTGGCGACCTTTGTATATTATGTATGTAATAAATGTCTTATTGTAACTTACCTTTTTCTTTTTTCTTTTTTCAGGTTATGTTGCCCTTTTTATGTATTTTGTTATTTATTTGTCGCAATGGGATTTTACTCCTTTTGTATTAACAAATTGCAGCAAAAAATCTCCATCTCTGAGATGTGTTTGGCTCCTTTCTACCTGAATTATGTGTGAATGATGAACAATTAGGGATTTGGGGTGCCTGTTGTGCTGGGTGCACAGCAGGCACTGTTGTGCTACTTTATGGGTTTGTTTTAGGGTTCTTTTAATATTTCTGTTTTCTTCACTAAAATGGACGACCCGGTGCAGCAAGTTCATTAAAAAAAATCCTTCACGTTGTTGAATTTCATGCCAGTAACATATTTTCAAGCTATCTCTGAATCTGGGAAAGTACAAGAAGATCCTTTAGAAAATTACTCACTCAAGATTATATTCCAAACAATGACATTGCACATATAAGCTGAGTGATAAGCCAGCTAAGACCAGTGGGGGCTAAAAGATGGAATCGGATCCTCTCATTGACTTCTCTCCTTAACTTCTTATCTGTTGGGCTATCAAACTCACTTTTGGGCCTAATTTTGATGATCCGAACCGTTCACATTTTAAGATTTGTTAAGTATGTTATACCCTGTAAAAAATCAAATTAATTAGATATCAGAAAACATGTGTTCGGAAAACTGTTTATTAAATTTTTTTTAAAATGGTTTTTAGTTCGATGGTCCGAACACGTAGTTTCTGATATCCGGTCAATTTGATTTTTTTATAGGTATGATATACTCAACAAAGGTATGATATACTCAACAAATCTAAAATATGAACGGTTCGAATTATCGAAATTGAGCCCAAAAGTGGACCCAATGACCTAACAAGTAGGAAGTCAAGGAGAAAAATTAAAAAAAGGATCTTGATTCTAAAAGATGTAGTATAGTACAGACATGCTAGTTTGGAAAATGCATACCCTTTACACCACACTAAGATGATATACAACACAAGAAGTGATTAGAGAAGATTAGAAGATGGTACAAAATGACAGAGTCGGGGTTAGATCCTCTGTTGAGTAGACCTCTTGCACATCATAAGGAGATTATTGATGTTACTTTTAAAATAAGAGATATTAGATGAAAATTGATACACATGGCTAGTTGTTAAAAAGTCGCATGGTATTATTAGGAAATTTGGTATTTGGTAAAATAGCTACTTTAAGTGATAAATGGGTCTTCTTTAAGGGGTCATAGTCAGCTACAAAAAGTCGATGAGCTAAAATGAATACTAGAGTATGATTCGAATCAACATTCAATAATTGAATTCGAAATTTAATTTTCAGTGCATGACATACTCAACAATCTAAATAGAACTTATTTCAGCAATTAGGTAACGGATCTATGACTTAATTGACCGAAAAAAATAAACTAACACTTGTATAACATTTTTTCATTAAATTATGAGTCTTGTTAAGCACACAAAAATAGAACACAAAATTGAACATAGACACTCACAAGACTATGAGTCTTACATAGTTTGAGGTCTATTATTTAGTAAGTGTCTGTGATCTTTATGTGATCCTAGTATTAATTTGGCAGTGAAAAGTTGAGTTGCTTTAGAATATTAAACTCAAGAGCATTGGAGTATTATAAGGTATTGAGAAAACTAAGAAAGAGAATCAAACATGAAGGTTGATTGGATTCACGTGCCTAGTCACATGAATTTCTTAGTGTAATCAGAAAATATATATAGCATTGAAGTCAGAAAATAGTAATAGTCAATTCAGCATCACATGATCCCCTTACTTCCAAGTTCCAACTGACTAAATAATACCCAAAAAATGACTCCATATTTTTTTAAAAATTGTATTTAAATCATAAATTTAAGTAAAATTTTTAAAATAAATAAATATAAATTTAAAATTAAAATTTGGAAGACCATTCATCTTATCCTTTTAAAAGTCTGTTTTAACAGAAATCTTGCACATTGAATCATCTAACAGTTTACTACTGCAATCACCACTCAAATATTAATCTATTTTTATTTTTATTTTTCTCTTTTGGCAGGTGGTGGGGGTTGTGAAGGTTGGAAGATGCTGATGACTAGGCTTGAAAAATCAAAGTTAAATTTGGCTTATAATATTATAAAATATTAGTTAAGCTATCTTTGTGGCAACATAATATATGTGCAAGGTGTGTATTTCTCTATATTTAAATGCTTGTTGGTTTTAGACTGATTAATTAACAATATTTCACTATTTCGGTTAGCAGTAACATTCAAAACAAAAATCCGTTGAATTCTTTTTCAAAATCTGTTTTTCTTTTTTTAATTAAAATAAAAATAGTTTGACAAAAATAAATATCAAAAAGGTATTTTCGAATTTTCAAAAATTATTTTCTTCCTAAAAAGAGAAACCTTATGAACATGATGAGTATTTTTTATTTTTTTATTTTTCACCAAACTAGGTTTTAGTTATTTTTATTTTAAAAAAAAAAAATTGAAACAAGATTCTGAGAACAAAACTAAACAGTGCGTAACTTTTTCTTTCTATTCTCATAATACAGAAATAACCTCTCTGCTAGTGTGGAGTATAAGTCGGCGTAAATCTTTTTTTTTATTAGTAAGTTTGCATACATCTAGCACTTCTCAAATTCTCATTTTATGCGCTAGGCCTTTTAAATATATTTTTTTAAATATATATTCTCATAATCAAATGAAGATTTGAATCAGAAATGACTTGACCAAGCTACGGACAAACTTTGCATAGAGATCATAAAAATCTCAAGACATCCATGCCCTTCTTTAGTTGATTGTATATATACACATACATATATTTTAATATAAGGTTATGACAGACCATGTGCCGTTACTAAACTAAACAAGATTGCATTGATACCCATATAACCTGTTTCATCTCTCATCATTTGAACATCTATGTTTTTGTTTTCTCTCTCTCAAAACTACCCTCATGAAGATCATGAGATGGAGAACTTTGGCAGCTCTCTTTGCCTTGATTTTAATTCACATTTTTATGTGTTCTTCACTTCATTTCCACCATGGAAAGAGTTTACTCAGAGAGAGAAACCAATCAAGAAAACTGTTATCTTCTGTGACTATGTCTGCAAATCTACACAAGTTGAGTGGAGGAGGAGTTGCCACTAAAGAGCCCAAGAAAGCTGTGGATGAAAGCCTGAGGAAAATGCCACCAAGTGCTTCAAATCCATCTCAAAACAAGTAACTTCCGGATGGATGCCTTATATCCGCGACAACAATGCTATGCACCCAGAAAAAGTACTTTAAAAAAAAATGTTCAAAATTTGAAATGTGCAGATCAAAGTCATCCTGAGTTTAACCATCTAGCCCATGCCACACCAAGTCTAAACCTACATCATGCATTCAGATTCTGAGTATTTTTCTGGGTATATAGTGTTTTTGATTGTCGTGGAGGTCAACAAGGAAAGAAGAATTCTTTCTGTGGTCTTAATTTTGTTTGAATCTGTTTTTGCTTTTAGTTTTTCCTTTTTGTAATAGTTGATTGATCTCTAGCTTTTTGTTTTTGTTTTGTTCATATATTTGCTTCTACTTCTACTTCTAGCTTTAATAATGTAGTATGATCTGAGGATGTATCAAGAACTGGTGTACAGATCAAGGGGGGAAAAAAGTTGAACTTGACAATTAATATTCTAGTTGTATTATTCTTATCGATCGCTTGTTTATATCTTGTTTTTAGTGCTAGGTTTTATAGGAACTAAATGATCCAAGGGCAGGGCTATGTGTAATTCTGAACTTTCAAATTTTGTTTAAATATATATGAAATTTTGTTTAATAGTTTTGGATTTTAACAAAATGACCCCAGTGTTTGGAACTATTCATTGTTTAGTGGTGTCAATTTTAACAAAATGACTCCAGTGAATCTAGATAAATATCACATATATCACATATATTTGGAGTTATTCATTATTTAGTGGTGTCAATTTTAGCTCATTTGCTCCATTAACCCTTCATTCTCTAACAACCATTGTTGCATTACCATTGATGCATTCCTTCATTTGTTCTCTCTCTCTCCCTCTGAATGACCCCGCTGAGGGAAATTTTTGACTACGCCCCTGAAATGATCCTACTTACCTAGCGACAAACTTCTATATTTGATATTTCTAAATAAGTTCCTAAATAACAAGCTTAAAGGTAAAAGGAACCAAGTAAAATTTTTTACCTTGAGTCATGTTATGTAAAAATTAATTTTGACAAAAATACATACCAAAAATATGTTTTTAAATTTTTAAAAATTATTTCTAACCTCCAACAAGATAAAATTACATGAAAATGGTGAGCTTTATTTATTTATTTTTTTCACCAAATTAATTTTATTTTTTTTGATTTTTTTTTTTCTAAAAACTAAACCAAATAAAGTCTATGGTGTTTCCGGGTTGGATTACTTGTTTTGACATTTCTCTTCTTTTTTCCCCCTCATCTTTGGGTAACCAAACAAGAACTAGTGTGTTCAAAAAAACAAGAACTAGTAATTTTAGTACAATGCTACTTATTTAGTGCCCTAATCTGATAAACCTTCTCACTGGGAAAGCAGCTACGAAAGAGACAAAAACTCTATAATTTGTACAATTTATAAAAAAACTTTTTGAGAAAAAGATGCAGATCAACTGATTTCAAATGCAGAGCATTTAGACTAGAAAATGGCAAAACAGTAATAAATCTTCCATCCAACATTGGTGGTTTGGGTTCAAAAGGCCCATGTAGTGGCCAACCATGTATTTTGGGTAAATTCCAGCAGTTTTTTTTTTGGCAAATTCATTATTTTTAAAAAATAGTTTTCATTCATTATAACTTTGTCCAATGATTTTCATTTTTGTTAGGGTTTGTTTTGGCATGTTTCTTCCATTATTCAAAAGATAAGAATCAAATACTACTTGGCATAGTCAACAATTCCAACTACGACTGACTTTCATGAAATCTAAAAGCCAACTCGTGAATAAACTATCTATGTTATTATTATTAGAGTAATAATATACTGATAATTTTTTTTATATAGAATGTTATGATTTTTTTTTTCTTTTCATTTTCAATTAAAATACTCATCATTATTTTCATAAATTCTTGACAAATCATTTTGGATTTATTTCTATACACCTTTGTGAGATGCCAATAATTAAGG